GTCCCCCCCCCCGGCGCCGCTGCTGGCCGCTGCAGGCCGGGGCCTCACGCCTGGGTGCGTGTTCGCCCCTGGATCTCAAACCCACTGGTGATCCGGTGTCTCCTTGAGACCCAGGCTCCAGCAAGCAGCAGCGAGGGAGGCGGCTAGGGCGAGCGAGGCTTCGGGGAGTCCCGCTTCTGGTGGATACCCAGAGCTGCCTCTTGTGAGAAGCCCGGTCCAGAGAGCAGAGGAGCGACTCTGACTTGCACAGCAGGTACCAGCACCAGCCTCTGGGCCCCGGCCCCTGCGCTCTAGCGACATGGGCTGTTTTCTGTGTGGCTGCAGCAGTCACTTGTGTCTGCAGGCCTGTGAAACGAGGGGCCGTGACGATAACCTCCGGTCTACTCCGTTTTTAACAATTATTTCATTTCTTGGTGCACACAGCATGTGGCGAAGTGAGTGAATCCAGTCCCGGCCGTTAAGCCAACTCGAATTGGGTAGAAAAGACGATTATCTAGAATATGTCTAGAGCACTGGAAAGTACGGGCTCCAGACAGGTTACTAGGGATGCAGGAATAAAAAAGACGTGGTCCTTGCTCTGAAGAACCCGCGCCTCGTAGGGAGACTGCCATGCCACATCAGTGACGAACCACACGTGGAGCCACGAGAGTCCTGGTAGGGGGCACGGTGCTTGGAGCACAGGGGAACCGCATGCAGGCCTCGGCCAGCTGGTGTCAAGCTCTGTGGGTTCAGCGGCCCAGTGGGGTCGACACAGCCACGGCAGCTTCCACCTGCCCTGGAGAGCAGCAGCCACGAGGGCACCGGGTCGATTGCGCAGTTATATCGGTTCTTGGTTTTCATCTCATTTTCCTGTTAAAACTAGACCCAGCCTCCAACTCCAGCCTGGTTAACTGGGACTGTGACCCTCCGTGCGGTCCCAGCTGTCCTCCCAGCGGAGATGCCCCCTTCTTTCTGCATGATCCCCTCAGCCCAGACGGCCTGCCTTCATCTGCAGTTCCGACTCCCACCCGATGCTGAGAACAGCCTCCTCTCAGAAGCCACCTTCGGTAGAACCCTTAGACGCTGGCCTGAATCCAAGTCAGGCGTATCTATGACATTTCATTGGGAAGAAAGCAGACTCAGAGTCCTTGTCGAGATGGGAGGTTTGCGCTGTCGTTCTATGTATTGCCTCTGTGAAGCCCGGCCGAACAAAGAGAATTCAAAGTATTTATACCTTAAAACGTATGTCCCCTAGAGCAGCATGTTTTGGGGTAAGACGGCCCGCCAGGCTTAGGGACCCTTCGTGAGTAAGGGGAACCAGCATGGGCATGAGACGCCTCTGCCAAGGACGCCTTCTGCAAGGATGGTCCAAGGACTCGGAACGTGCTCTGCTTTCTTTGGCGCTCAGAGGGAATTACCGGCTCGCGCTGTTGTGGAGGTCCCTTTCACTGGCCGTACAGGGCCTGAAGCTCGTCCAGGCTTAGTGCTGGAAGCCGTCAGTTGGCCCTGAGAGAAGAGGCGGATCAGAAAAGAAAGAGATGAAGGTTCTTAGCAAATGCAGTGTGAGCCCTGCAGGTAATGCCTCCTGCAAGCACCTGGCTGACTGGCTGGGACCGACAGATCCCTTTTTGAACTGTGAAACTGTGGTGCTTTCAGACGGAATTAGAGGGAATATCAGATTTTTCAGACACTACAAGCAAGATCCTCGGTGGTTACCTGGGACCTTGGCCCTCAGTGGATGAGTTAGCTCAGGTTAAGTGCCACATAAGGGAGCAGGGAGTGGGGGTGCTGTTTGGCTGGGGTCAGAGAGGCGTCTCTGAGAAGAGTCCTCAGAGCAGAGCTCTGAATGAGTGAGGGGCCAGCCCCACAGACACCTGCTGCTCTCAGTTTGTTTGCAGAAGCAGCCAGGCGCCGAGACAGGAGGGACTAGGCATGTTTGGGGGACCTAAAGGAGGCTGGATGGCTGGAGGAGGGTGGGGGGTCGGCCCTGTGGTCGGCCAGGGCCACAGAGGGGGCAGGGGCAGGAGTGTCTCGGCTCGTAGGTGTGAGGGGAGCCCTTGGGGACGTGATGGGGTTCACTGGATGCGGAAATCGGCCAGGGAGTGGGCGGGGTTCTGAAAAAATCACGTGATCCAGTAGGTCGGTCTGGTT